TTTTTAGCTAAGTTACTAGAGTTATTAGAGTTATTAGACTTATTAAAGTTACTAAGGTTTCAATTCTACGGCTTAGCATACTTAGGATTCAGGTTTTGATAGATATACATACGGTGATTCTACGCGTAAGCTTGCTCGAAGTAGTAAAATAGGTAGCATAAGTGGTAGCATAAATAGTAGCACAAGTGGTAATATAAGTAAGTCCTTTTAGCTAGGTTACTAAAGTTATTAGAGTTATTAAAGTTATTAAGGTTTCGATTATACGGCTTAGCGCGTGCAAGATTCGGGTTTTATTAAAGGTTCATACGGTTTTATACGTAAGCCGCCGCAAAGTAATATAAGTAAGCCTTTTTAACCAAGTTACTAGAGTTACTAGAGTTATTAAAGTTACTAGAGTTATTAATTTGCTAAAGCTTACTTCTTTCGAATCGGCGCATTAGATTTGCAGCAAAGTTTAAAGCTTTTTAAAAAAGCTTAAGCGGTTTAAGTATGTTACTTAAGTTATTAGAGTTATTAAAGTTATTTAAGTTACTTAAGTTATTAAAGTTATTAATACTAATTAAGTTTTTTTAATATACGATTTAAGCTTATCGTTTTGATCTTATACATTTTGCTACTACTTAATATACTTAATACGGATAACACGTCTTCTTTTAAAAAGGTTTTTAGTACTTTGCTACCGTCTTATCAATTATAACGAAATAATAATTAAAAAGAGGACTTTAAAAATGATGAACTCTTACTTTCGTCTTTATCTCTTTTAATAAAAAAGCGAAGAAGTCGTTTAAGAAAACTTGCTGTTCGCATTCTATTAGAATTGCAATTGCGTCGTAGCCGTCTTAGAAAACAAATTTCTAGCTTATCTTTTCTATAATCATCTAGCATTATACGGAATTAAATGTTTTCTTTTGATTCCGGATCCGACTTAAAAGTTATCGGCTATCGCTTAAACGCTTTAAAGCAAGGTCGTAAGACACGTAAAGCTCGAAAGATTTAAGCTAATATCGAACGAAAGAACCGCATATAGCGAAAAGATGAACGAAAGACTATTAAAAAAGCTGCTTAAGCCGAATAAGAACGCCGTCGCACTTTTTAATTCTAAAAGTTTATCTTTTTCTCGAACTTATCATAATCGTATGCTACTTTAGCTGAATACAAGCTGGCGATTAATAAAAAAGAATAAAAGATGATCTAGGATTTTCATTCGATTATAAGAGCTATTTAAATAGACTTTTATTTTCGCTATAATAAAAGATAGTTCGAAATAAGATTAAAAGTAGTCCGCGGCGATTTTATTTGTCACGAGTATAACTGCTGTAATAAATTTATTAAAGAACCGGATCTTTTTAAGCAACTTTATTTTATAATAGCTAGCAATAACATAGACTTAAGTGAAGTGCCGGATTACTTACCGAAGCTTTCGGTATTAAAAGAAGCGTTGATCTTACCGTTGTATATTAATATATCGCTTTAGCGCTATCGCGGCTATTAATATAAGTACTCGAGCTACGTAATAACTTTTGCTTTTAATAACGCTAAGTTCTTTAAAAACTTTTTTTTGTTGCTTAAAGAAGTCAACGTAATTATTTTTAAGCCGAAAGGTATTAATAAAGACTTTCGGATCAGTAAACAGTTTAAAAAAGAATGCCGAGTTCGGCGCTTTGCAATCTATATTTAACTTACTTTTTTAAAAGCAAATAATCTTAAGTATATTGATATCAATATAAATTAAGACTTAATAGATTCTTTGCTCGTAGATAAAGATATGAAAAAGCGAGTCACAATTATTGAAGACGAAACACTTGAACAGCTTTTATTAAGGATAGCGGCTTTAATAGTTATAAAGTCATCGGTATAAAAACGCTGCCGCTTGCGCCGAAAAGCTCGCGGTAATTTTAAAGAAAATTCGAGCGAAGATAAAGCTTTTGCAAACGATAAGAATGCTTTACTTAATATAAAAGATCACTTAGATCTTAACGATGATTTACTTGATAATCAAAAGCGTCTTTTTTTAAAGACTATTGTTTTCGATTTAAATCTAGATACTACGGAATCTAATTAGCTCTTTGCTTAAATTAATAAACTCGTATCGAAGTAGTATGTTTTTGCTTTTGCTTTAAGCTAGCGGTTCATTTTAATCTTTAAATTAAAACTTAATTAAAAGCTTTTTAGTTTAGCCTTTCTTATATTTTTCTTTACTAGCGCAAGCGATTTCTATACTTAACGATTCCGAAAAGTTAGTATAAAGGATTATGCTAAACACTTAATAAGGTACCGCGATAAGCGTTTTGCGATTTACTTTCGTTTCCGATTCTACTTTTTTAATATTTTAATGCGCTTTAAGATCGTAAAAGTATCTTTTTACTTTGTCAAGTCTCGGAAAGATATTAAGGATTTAAGTATTAATAGTTTGCGAGATCAATTAAAAGAGCAGCTAGCTTTTTTTAATTAGATCGTGCGCTATAAGCAAGCTATCGATAGCATTCGTTTTTTTTAAAAGAAGTAAAGCTATCAGTTAAAAGCATTAGCTAAGTCTTAGCTAAACGCTATAGCAGCTTTTCTTATATGAAGTGTTGCGGATATGCAATAAGAAGACTTTTAACGCTATCTTCTTCGGTATAATAAATATAAAGCCGTTAATTAAGTTAAGCGAGCTAAGATAGTATAAGTCAATGTTTAAAAGAACTCGGTTATTATTGCTTATTACATCTACATCCGTTAGCAAGCTTTCTTGCAAGACATCTTAAGTTATTATTTGCTGTATATTGATTTTTAAGCACGATAAGAATAGCAAGACCGTAGCTCGAGCTATATTCACGGTATATTTTAGTTAAAAGGCAAACCGAACGATGCGAGCGAGCTTAAACTTAATATAAACTTTAAAAAAGACGATTACTTTCGTATTTTAAACTTCGTCAGCTTTTAAAAGGATTATATCACCGCTTATAACTTTGATGCTATTCGTTTACTAGATCTGTAAAACCCGACCTTTTTATCTTTTAATATGATTAAGAATACCGTCGATTAACTTATTACGTTAATTAATCGGATGCAAATCTATCAGGTTTGCTTAATTAAATATTGTTTACGTAAAAACAAAGATACAAGAGTTTTTTCTTGCAGATTTTACTATAAGCGCTTTATGCAGCCGATAGCTGATTATAATCGAAAGATCAATTTTCGCAAGTATCAATTCGCCGCTTAACGCAATTATCTTTTGCAAAACCTTTTTTCACTTGTTTTTGTATTAAGCTGGTTAGTTAACACAGATATATAGCTTGTATTCAGCTTTAAAGGTCTTTTAAAATACGCTTTTAAGTATTGCTTTAAGCATAAAAAAGAATCCGACTCTTATAAAGATATTATTAATATAATACTAGAATACATTAATGTTAAGGCTCTAGCCTTTTCGCTAGTCTTTAAGATGCTTAATAAGCTGTTAAGAAAGAGGGATTATAGCGCTTAAGAGGTTTGTCACTTGCTTTTTAAGATTAATTTGATTAAATCTATTCGGAACTTTATTAATTTGGATTGCCGATCAAATAAAGACAAGAAGTATTAAGTAGAATTAAATAAGTATAAATTAAAACTTAAACTCTTTAACTTTTAGCGGTATTGATAACGCTTCGAGCGAATCGAAGAGGTTACTTTTTTAGACTTCTTTAAAGTCTACGATATATACACTTGTAAAAAGAAGAATTTCTTACGAAAAGGTAAGCTTTAGATTATTAATTACTTCTTTTAATACTTAAATATTAAGGTCTACGATAATTATAAGCATAACGCACGCACTTACTTAATGCTGCATTATTTTTATCGAAAAGAAGACGACTTACTTATTGATATTATTAAAAAAGAGCATCCGATATTCGCTTTAGCTTATAGCGCTTATAAGCGCTTTTATCGAGATCTTTATAGCGATTCTTTGCATATGCTCGATTATTACGATCCTTTTTTTATAGCTGACGAAGAAGATGAAGCTAGTTTAAACGATGAATACGATATAAAAAGCTTTGAGCCTCGAGACCGTAATAATATTAACGCAAAAGAAGAATGGAATTTGCGCAACTTTCGGAACTTTCGTATTATGCTTATAAACGAAGACGATATATCGAACCGGCTTGAAGATCTTGCTTATAATTAAGATTTATATATTAGCAAATATAATATTTTATTTACTTATGTTCGAGATTAAAGAGCTGCTGCAAGAGTATCTGATATACGAGTTAGCGCTACTTGAAGTTATGACTTTGAAAGGCTTTCCGATAAATAGAAAAGGTTTTACTATTTTATAATAGACTATTATATTATAGTATTATTAAACTAGACCCTTTTATAGCTGCTAATTCATCTCGACGGCAAGGCTGGCACGAGCAAAACCTACTTTATTTTAGTTATTTGCGTCCGGCTTTAAGATATAACGGATAAAGCTAGCAAGCTTAATCTAGTCATCCGAGCAGCGCTTATAAGTGTTGCTGCTTTTAGCATCGTAAGAGCTATATTATATTTATTATTAACGCTATTAGTTAAACACTATTCTATAGACAATTCTTTTGCTATTTTCTAGACTTTTTAAGCGAAATTCAAGGATTGCAAGTATTTAATTATTAATGAAAAGTCAATAATTGATTTAAAAGACTTCGTTCGAATTCAAAAGCGCTATGCTTAGATTTTCTTTAAATCTTAAGAGCTATTTAAAGGTCTGAGTATTTATTTTTATAATGATTTTTATTAGTTACCGTTAATTGAAAGGAAGTCTTTATTTATAACTTATAACTTTTCGTTAAAACAAAAGATCGATTAGTCTTTTTATCGATTATTTAATAAAACCATTCGATTTAAAGTCATTATGCGTTAAAAGAGCGAGTCTTTAGAAGCTATTAATTTCCGTAAAGCCTTTTTAAAACTCCGAAAAGATAACCTTTCGGTAGATAATTAAAAACTTTTCATTTCTCGAGCTAAAATGAATATCCGGCCGGCTGATAAAGAATCTTTTAAAAATGCTTTTCGTATTTACTTTACGAACGCAAAAGTAAGAGAATACAACTACGAGCAGTTAAAAAAGCTGGACGCGCTTATTTTAAGACTTAAGTTAAAGAATACGAATAGCGCGAAAGCTTACAACGCTAATTAGAAAGAAGCTAAAAGCTTAGAGCAAAGCATTGATATATGTATTAGAGCTAAAGTAATGTTAAATTAGAATCTTTAGACAGAAATAAAAGTAGTTAATAAGTCTATAAAAATAATTAAAAATATTTTTTAGAAAGCAAGCGTTAAATTACGCGAAGAACTGCTATAAAGCATTATGATAAAGATCGAGGATTATACTAGTTTTACTTTTAAAGAAACTAAATAGTTCTTAATATTTATTATCGATCGAGACTTTTTTTACGATAATAAGCTTTGCAATCGTCGGCAACTTTTTCTTCGCGTGGCTTACGCAATTACGGTATATAAGAGTTAAAGAATTTCCTTGATTAAAGCAATGATTAGCTAAGCTAAGGTTAAATTTGCTTATAAGCTATATTATGTATTAGCTTTTAAAGTAAAGACTTTAGCGAAGGTTATATTTGAGAATGTGTTTGATTTTTGCCGCTTTAAGAAGAAGTCTATTAGTATTAGTATTAATCGGGATACAGATTATATGTATCGAAAGCAGCTTGCATAGCGGTTGTAAAACGTATAAATATATATATTTATGTATTATACAAAAGTTATAAAAGTTATAAAAGTTATAGAAGTTACAAAAGTTATAAGAGTTATAAAAGTTACAAGAACTAATAAGAAGCTTTTATTCTTCGCTTAATTTAAATAAAGGCTTATTGCTACGTGCATTTAATTTTAATAGAATACTTTTTTTGCATTTAAACACTTTACTTTTACGATATATTAAAATCAAACAACATATAGCAATCAACTATTTATCGTTTTTCTTATTGCTATTATGAATACGAAGCAAGAGAAAAAGAGTACTACCAATTATATTAAAAAAAAAGAGCTTAAAGAAAAGGAGCTTAAAGAAAAGGAGATTAAGGAAAAGGAGATTAAAGAGGGGGGCATTGAGGAAGAAGGGGACATTAAGGAGGAGAGCGATATTAAGGAAGAAGGCGATATTAAAGAGGAAGAGGATATTAAGGAAGAAGCTATTATACTACTATTAAAAACTCTTTTATTAAAGAACCTTTATTACGCAACCTTATAACGCGCTTTTATAGCACTATCATTTAGCTTGCTACGCTATCGATATAAGTCATCCGATCTCTTCGATAATAACGACGAGATGACCCGTATTATAAGTAAGATTAACTTTAAAAGACTTATCGATACTTAAAGCAGCTAATAGACTAATGATGATGCTTAAAGCAATAATAAGACACAAGATGATGCTTAAAGTAAACAAAAGAGCGAAGTGAGCAAAAAGAGAGGTTAAGATATTATACTTACGGATCTTTTTAAGTTTATATATACGATATATAAAAATAAGAAAATATACGACGATCTCGAAGTACACCGCGCTTTCAAGCAGATCGAGCAATCGAACAAGATTAAAGCTAAAGCGGAAGCATTAGATTTAGCGCTAGATTTGCCTTTTCTTTTATTCTTTTTAACTTTTAGGCTAAGCATAAATACGATCTATCAATCTTTACCGCGTTTTACGCTTCTCGCACTCGCTTAGCTACTTAAAAGACTTATTAAAATCGAGTGTATTAAGTATAGCAGCTTCCGCTTATTGCTATACTTCTTTATCTTAAATATTAGTTTGCGATTTATTACTTGCTTAGATTGCTGTTATTAACGACGCTACGAGCTGGTTAAAAAGTACTTTATTCGGGATATAGCTCGAAAGTGTTTAGTTAGCAATTTAGCAGATGTAATAATGTCGGAATATACGGCGAAATTAGCGGACGAACTTTGTTAAGGTTATTTAAGTTTATTCTTATAGAAAGAGCTAGATAACTTATATACTTGTTATTATTATCGCAATAAGCGGACCTTTTAGCGCTTATGTATTTTAGATAAGCGTATAAAAGGGGTTATTTAAAACTTAAAAGCTTACGCAAAGATCGAGCTTAAAGCTTATCGATTAATAGCTATAGAAAAGTATAAGCTTAACGAATTATAAGATGTATACTAATAGTTTATTATTAAAGGTAATTGTATAGCTATTAGCAATTGATTAAAGGTAAATAATGTATTTAAATTGTAATTTTAATTGTGCTAAATTAATTATAACTTTTGTAACTTCTGTAACTTTTATAACTTGATAATTTTATATGATTATGCATGCTAAGCCGATAGATTTAGCAAGAGCGAAAATTTATTTATATTATAAAAGTTATATAAGTTACAAAAGTTATAGAAGTTATAAAAGTTATAGAAGTTACAAAAGTTATAAAAGTTATAAGAGTTACAAGTTACTTTATAAAATATAGTATAGATATACTGTTATATCGACGAATACGGCAAGTGTAAGAATTTAGTTAAGCACGGACCTTTTTAAAAAGTGAATTCGTTTGTTACTTTTGAATATTTATTATAACTTAAATATTCTTTTTAATTTCAATATTAACATTAATATCAACTTTAACTTTAATTTTAATCTTAATTTTAACTTCAACTTCAACTTTAATTGCAGCTACAATTACGATTACAATTATATTAGCAATATGATTTCATTCCGCTAGCGTAACTTTCGAAACGGACTTTATATAAGGCGGGTAGGTCGGCCGGATCCGGCTTATAAGCGGCAAGTACAACTACTTCGCAAGCAGTAGTAGCTGCTTTTATACCTTTTCTTTCCCTTTTAATAAGCTTTGCTTGTTGCTTTGTTTGTTGCTTTGCTTATTGCTTTGCTTGTTGCTTTGCCTTTTGCTTTGCTTATTGCTTTAGTTGAGCTCGCGGTGTAAGTGATAAGTGATATATTTTAGTTACTTACGTTAATATTATATATAGATTTAATTAAGACGACGATAATGAGAATGAGCTAATGATCTTTCGCTTTTTTTCTTTCTTTTCTTTTTATACCGTTTCCGCCGTTTTCGTTGCTGCTTTGCTTTTTCTTTTCTTTTTCTTTTTTTTTTTTTAAGGTTAAGAGAGAAGTAAAAGAAGATAAAGTGATAGAAGATTCTAGGCTCGCAATGTAAGTTATCTTAAGATCAAGTGATACATTCCCGCTACTTACGCTAATGATATATATATATATAGATTCGAAGACGACGACGATATGATTAAGCTAATGATTTCTCGTTCTTTTTCTTTTTTTTTCTTTGTCTTTTCCGCGCTATCGATTCTTATTAGCGTCTCGGCTCTTAGCTTCGCTTCGGCTCTTATATTCTTTGCCGCCGCCGTGCTCTCTTTTGCTACGCCACTTGTTACCTTTCGCTTTACAAGCTTTAAACCGATCTTACTTTTATAATAAAGCATAAGCGTAAGTATATTTCACATCTTTTATTAATGCTTATTAATCAAATTAATAGATGTTTGCGTCTTCGCCGGCCGTTAGTAAAAGGACCTTTTTTACTAAGGCTCAGCTTAAACAAGCTTAATCGATTGCCGGGTTTGCGCGGCTTTTTTAAGCTTAGACTACTTAAAAGAAGAACAAAGACTTATATACGCTTTCCGCTATAAGCATATAGTAGTCGTATAAGCAATCGGACTTGTTAAAGCTCTCTTCCTTTCGCTATGCTATTATCGGTTACGTCGGCCGTATTATAAAGATCGAATTATAAGAATTACTTTCTTTTATCTTTTAGCAACCTTAAGCTAATATAAATATATAAAAGTGAGTTAATAGACCCGCTTTGCGATGCGTGCGCTGTTGCTCGCTAAGAGTGCTAAGCATACTTTTCGGCCGGTAAAGCACAAATATTTAATTCGAAAGATGCGTGTGCTCGCTGTCGGTGGTCTTTTCGAAAGTGTATTGCGTTTAAAAAGAGCTTACGTAAGAAACGTAGACCTAGACCCTTTTCTTTTGTCCGAGACCTTCTTCTTCTTTTTCCTTCTTTTCTTTTAAGTGCACTTTTTATAGCTAGGTTAAAGATTCGGGTTTAAACCTTCTTTAATGCATATTCTTAGACTTGATAACTCTTATAACTTTTGTGACTTGTATAATCTTATAGCCTTTGTAACTTTTGTAACTTTTATAACTTCTATAACTTTTGTAACTTTTGTAACTTCTGTAACTTTTATAACTTTTATAACTTTTATAACTTCTATAACTTTTATAACTTCTATAACTTTTGTAACTTTTAATATTTTCGTAATATAAGTAAATATATAAATATAAGTAATAAAGGGGGTCCGGGGTCTCTTCGATATAAAAATGAAAAGATGAGTAATAAAAGGGGGTTTAAAAGGGTCTCCCCTTTATAATAAAATATAAACGCGATGATAACTTTTGTAATTTTTATAACTTTTATAACTTTTAATATTTTCGTAATATAAGTAAATATATAATTATGAGTAATAAAAGGGGTCCGGGGTCTCCCCGGTATAAAAATGAAAAGATGAATAATAAAGGGGGGTTTAAGAGGGTCTCCCCTTTATAATAAATTATAAACTCGATAGTTTTTAATATAATAATACTTTTATATATATTTACTTTTATTTTACGATCTATTTAATAAGTTTGATATTTAGCAAAACATAAAGTCCGATATAATATTATCAACGGGCTAATTATTAATTTTATAAAAATCTAATTTAATAATATACTAATGAGTAATTAGCCCGTTGGTGACACTACAGAAAACTTGGTCCTCTGCCCTGGTATTATATAAGTGCTATCTTTTAAGTTATACTTAAAATAAGCTTTTTCGTAACCGTTAAAGTCGTCTAAGTGTTTTAACGTCTAACTATTAAAGAATTTTAAAGAAAAGGAATATTATTAAAACCGTTCTCGACGGAATAAAGTAGTTGTTAATAATGTGACGACTTTAAGCGATTATTTAAAAGAACTCACGAAAGCGCGAAGGTTTATATAAAAGCTTAAGAGAATCTTAAAGTAATGACTTAGAATTAATAATTATCGAGTGTAAAGGTCGAAGGTAACTAAGGTTTATATATACGAAAGTAAGAACGCTAAGGACTCGTGAACTATAGTTTATAAGTCAAAAGCGAAGAATAAGAAAATACGAAGAATACGAAGGAAAAAAGGAAAGAAGTAGCTTGGCGCATATAAGGTGCGTCCAGGAGACCTGGCGTGTCGTCACAGGCATCAGTTTTGCTACTTTTATTAAAGCAATTACTTTAAACACTCTTTTAAGTTAAGTAAAGTTCTACGTCGTAAAAAGTGATATGCTTTTTGTTGGATTGCTTCTAAGCGATTGGGAATATATTCGTAACTTCGTAAGGTCGTCAAAGTACTTGCAATTGCAAAACACTCGGTTGATAAAGTATTTGAATTCTGTCTGCCCTTTAAGGCTCAGGGGAGCTGATTCCTTCTATATGATTAGAAGGAATCACGTGCACTAGCTAGCTAATAGGTTTACTTGTCAAGTTAAGGGTCCTTTGACTGCTGACATGCTAAGCGAGGCATGCCAAGTGGCCCGTGAACCTTGGTTCACGGGTAAGCTCCTTAACTACTACTATTACTACTACTATTACTACTACTACTAGCTAAGGTCGATATAGATATACCGACACCGGCAATTCTCTCTTTAGCAAGCCGTGCTTTGCCAATTACTATATCGACCGAAAAAAGAAGGAAGGTGATCAAACAAAGGAAAAACAATCACTCTACTAAACCTCATTCTCCTTTCTCTTACAACGGCCTTTCCACCCATCCGTCTACTTGCACCTTTAAAGTATTAGTTAAAACTAGCTCTTGCAAAGAGGTATTAGCTTCGATTTTGGTCATAGCGTCAGCAAGGTTAGATTTGCCTTCGATCTAGCGTACCTCAAAAAGCTCTCGCCTTTCGTATAACTTTCGAATAGTTATAATATCGATCATAAAGCGCTTCTCCTTAATAGTTCTCAGCTTTACTATACACTCGTAAAGCGAGTAAGAGTCAATGCACACAACTACGAGGAAATTAAAGATCTTTAGCTAAGCTGTGATTTAAGCAAAAGTCGTCGATATAGCAATAGCTATATCGATACTTAAAGACATAGCGTATAGCTTAAAAGCTAATACTGCTTTTATTACCTTTTTGCACTTTTATAATACTTAATAAAAGATGTTACTCGTTAAAGTGAACTCGT